GACTGCGGTCCTGATGATCCCTCGATCTTGAATCCAATCCCTTGGGCCTTTTGCCTGAACTCGCGGCTACCTGAACCTCATCCGGCTTCCTCTTCTGGATCTGCTCCAAATCAATTTCCCTTTCCCTGGCCCGAGAAATCATATCTTCCAACGTCTTACAACCGGACCTGCTCACAAACTCCCTGATGTCATCCCTCAGCATCTCATGATATCGTGCCTTCTTCATCTCCTCATCCGCGACATACTGCGGAACAAGAAGGGCTCTCTCCCTGAACTTGGCGGTGATCTCCGCCACAGTCTCAGTAGTCTGCGTCAAATCCTGAAACTCCCGGGCCAACTGCTGTACATCAATAATCGGCGAAAACTCCACTCTGAACCTAGCTGAGAAATCACTCCAAGTTATCGCGTCCAACGCGGCATCATCACCCAAAGCATGACCAATCTCCTCCCACCAATCCCTCGCTCTGTCCTTCAGAAGACAGGAAGCGAGTCTGACCTTGTCCTCCTCAGGACACCGGCTCGTACGGAATGCGTTGGCAACATCAGCCAACCATCTGCTGCTAGCGATAGGGTCCCTAGCCCCATGATAATCTGGTGCCCCGCAAACCCTGAACTCCCGAAATGTTAAGGTACGCGATCCAAACAAGGCCATCATCTCAGTACGGAAGGCTCCCAGCCTCTCATCCAAAATCTCCAATATACCCTCCTTGACCGTGCCAAAGATCACAGGAGTCTGAGCTAGAATACTGCGCGTCACCTCGGCTGATATCAACTCTCTGATTCGTTCATCGAGTTGCTCGGCCCCTAAACCCGAGCCCAATCCCTCTCCGACGCCTGATCTGCCCGCTGGTCCCTCTTGCAATGTCACCATACTGAAACATATAACATAACCATTATCAGAATACTCCTCACTGCCGCGAGACCAAACATACTCACTACCAGGTTCACGGTCTTGTCTCGGCCTTTCCCGAATCGAGTACGGATCCTCTGCTTTCAGTAGTACGGGCCCATACTACCTTCCACATCTATCCGTACTTTCCTCAAGAACTGCTTTGACTCCACCAGGTCCCTTTTCTACTACTACTGCTCCCAGCACTACCTCATCCTAGGCTTGCCCTAGAGAAACCTTTGACTCAACTCAAACCAGTCCTCAGCTGCTGAAGGCCTCCTTGCAATGCCAGTTAGCCATTACCTGGATACCATCACATGTGACGAGGCTCAGATAATCCTTCAAGTAAAGGACTCGTTCCTACAACGGTTGGACTCAAACAAGAGCTGCGCAATAGGACCAAATCCAACACACTGAGATTATTCAACCCTGATCACATGCGACGTGATGTATCCACCTAATGGCTAACTCCCATCACCTACAATCCCACAATGCACAAAGCAAGCAGCATTCAGACATGGGAAATTCTAACAATAACATACTCAAGCAATCATATCCACATAGCAAGAATCTTAACTAGCATGCAATACAACTCATAAACTCAGGCATAACCTAATCAGGCTATCCTACCACTGACTATTCAGCACTATCATGCAGATCAAAAGCACATAATAGGCACATAAGGCATCCTCCCTAGATCCTTAGTCCTAATCTAGCATGCTGTTCTATTAACTGATAATCAAAACATAAACTCGTATGTGTATTTTGGGGTACTTACTTGAGCTTGTTTGATTGCATGCACCACACCTCTGTTCTCTTTTCAAAGTTCTTTTCTTTCTGAATTCTTTTTACTTTTCTAAAACCATTTTGTTTCTCAAAACTCTTTTTACAAAACTGTCTTTCCATTTTGAAAACTTCCTTACCAATTTCTCAGTTTGAGTTCAGGCACACCCGAGAGCATGTCCGAATCCCTCAAACCAATGCCCTGATACCAACTTGAAACGACCCAAAATTTAAGACCAAAAATTTCTTTTAATGTTTCACTACTCAAGGTAAAATCATCATTTTCAAAACATAATATAAGTATAAGTTTTCGAAACACATGTTTATTATTAGAGTAAACATTCCCATGTTGTCTAATCTATGGTGTGTGCCATGCGATCACCCCGAGCTCTTCCCTCCGCTACCGGAAGTACCTGAAACCAAAACTGAAAACCGTAAGCACGAAGCTTACTGAGTTACCCACCCTACCACATAACATGCATAACCACATACTGCACATACTGGATCACGTCCTCTATCTTGGGCCTCGCCCGCTTCAACGGCCCCGCTGCTCCAGGCCTCGCCTGGCTTCGAGCCCCGCTCGGATACAAATCTTTTTCACTTAGGCCTCGCCTGTCACAGGGCCTCGCCTGCCAACAAATAATAACACATAAACATTTCACAACACATAACTAACACATGCAACTGGTTTTGTCCTAAGGCCTCGCCTATCCTGGGCCTCGCCCATGTCCTGCTACTAATGAGTCATGGGACCCCGTCCACGCTCCTAATGGTAGTGAGGTACGGGCCTAGCCCACTCTCACTCCTATTCTAGTTTGGGCCTCGCCCCTATTCTGCTACTAATGAGATATGGAACCCCACCCACACTCTGCTATTGGTGAGATACGGGACGTCGCCAACACTCACCTCCCTACCAGGCACATACATGTATCACACAGAAAACAAGTATAAACTATCATATAAACAATTCTTTTGGCACCCGCCCGCTATTACTGGACCTCGTCTTGAAAATCATACTAGCATACTGTGCCTAGGGCTAACTCCCGGGTCTTCTACTCATAACTACATGGGTCGGCATTGTGTCCTTAGACCCATTCACACAAAGGGTAACTCACCTGCACTGGCTGAACTTGCTGATGATCTCACTAGCTGCTGCCCGACAACTCACGGTACTCCTGCTCCCCTTGCTCCCCGAACTACCAATATCAATGCAACACTGACTCTAACTGACTCCCGAAAGACAACCAAGTCAACCCTGGTCCAAGTTCAAGGTCCCGGTCAAAGTCAACCTTCCAGGTCAACCCTACTCGCCGAATCACCCTACTGACTCGCCGAGTTCAAAATGAATTCGATTCCCTCTATTCGCGACTCCACTCGCCGAGTCAGTCCATGACTCGCCGAGTCTACAGATTTCTGATTCCTGACCTAACCAACTCACTGAGTCTCCACCTGACTCACTGATTCGAGTCTCAACTCGAAGGGTTTGGTGTTTCGCGACCTGACTCGCCGAGTCCAAGAACAGACTCGCCGAGTACAAGGCAATCTTCATACGACTCGATGAGTTGTTCATCCCACTCATCGAGTTTCTCCACAACTTCATGTTATTCGCTGAGTCCACTCAAAGGACTCACCGAGTCCCTTCAGTTCTGCTTTCATGCAGAGGACTTTTGAGTCATGCATGGACTCCAAGCTGTAGATCTACCCTTCCCAAGCCTATTCCACACGTAAAGTTGCAAAATTTACGTGTAGAGAAGGAGATCTAGGAAAAATATGCCATAAACTAGGGTTTAAGGCCAAGGGGCTTCAAAATCAATTCAATGGCTGATACGTTACAGGATTTTAGATCAAAATAAGCATGGATCTGAGGTGACAACCTCATATCTGAACCCCTAGCTCGAAAGGTCACTCTAATGCCATGAATGCCTAAATACACATATAGATCCTGGTGCAAAGAAGAGAAAATAGCAGCTTGTTACCTCCTAGATGAACACCACTGAAGTAGATCTCGGATCTACACCTCCTCCTTTGAAGCAACCCACTTGATCTTCAAGTTCCTTCCCCCAAAGTTTCTTCCTCCAAGTTTTATCTCTCAAATAATGGAAGCTCTTACGAAATCAAGGTGAACTGGTTCTCAAGGGTGATATAGGGGCTGAGGGAGGGACATAACACCCTTTAAATAGGGTACAACTCCCGGGATTAGGGTTTTCCCCGTTCAGACCTGACTCGCCGAGTCACCTTGGCCGACTCGCCGAGTCGGTCGCTTACTTCTCGACCCGGATCCCGCTCGGACTCGTCGAGTCCCTCCTTGGACTTGCCGAGTCTACCCTTAAAATTAGGGTTTTTCTTTCCTTTCTTGGCCTTCAAAACCTTGGGTGTTACACAACAGGTCAAAATCGAACCACATGACTGTTTTTGCAGTTTACTAATTAGGGTAAATTTTAAATCCACTGAATTAGGATTAGAGCTGGTAATTAAATATCCGTTAAAATAAATTGGATTTTTCTATTTGAATTTGGATTAGGGTAACTGTTTACTTTGTTTTTTATTTGAAATTCATGAGTACTTAAACTTGATTGCAAGACTTCTTAGTTTTTTATTTTCTTATTTATTCCAAATTGTTCTTCATTCCAATCAAAAAAGTTACTAAAGAAAACAATCAGTGTAAATAATTACTTGTTTCAACCTTTAACTTATTTAATCAAACCAAGTTATCAAAGAAACCAATTAAATCCAAATAGCTAGCATTTTGCAAAAGAATCATATAGACCAAAACCTATAAGAGTCTAAAAGTCTCATTTCTTACATGATTTTGTGTTTCTATAGGCAATTAGGCACCCAATCCAAAGATGACAGATGGATTAGGTTTGGAATGCCATGTTTGTGGCTTATGTGTTCAGCTAACTTTTGATCCGATCTGAACCACATTGATTAAGCAGTATGTTTCACTTCTTGCAATTATTTATTATGATGGTTTTCTATTTACCATTTATGCCCTGTTAAAAGTTTGAAATTATGTGAAGCCCTTTGTGTTGTTGATTATTTATTATTGATAAACTATAGTATATCTAATCTACCACCAGGTCAACTAGAGTAAAAAGGGTTGCCAATTTTGTATATTGGCTGCTAAAATTAACCCATGGTCTTATGATCTTTATAACTTGTTACTTGTTAGTATCTCACATAATAAGGGCGATTGTCTGTCCGTTTTTTTGTATCTAGTTTTTTATGTGATTTATCAAGTAGCAAGGGAAGTATTCTTTATTTTAGTAGCTCATTTTTCCTTGTTTCTTATATATTCCTTTTTTTTTCAGCTGAAAAATGCATACAAATGGTTGGAGAAATTGGATCATCCCAAAGTGGAAAGCTCACCATATTCAACTGTTTAGATGGGGGTTCAGGAACATTAGCATGCATAGTAAAAGAAAGTGTGAAACTATACACATACAACATCAGACCACTTCATGTTGAAGTTGCAAGAAACAAAGCAATCAAAGCATCACCAGATCTTCCCGAGTTGTTTGTGTAATGTTTCAAAATTATGGTTGGTGGATTGAGCTGACAGATATTTATTTACTAACTTACATAGGGGAATCATCTAGCAGTGTCGAGAAAAATTATAAAGCAATGAAGCATGCTACATAATGAGAGATATCCCACAGTGCTGATGTCATCTGTTGCACATGTGTTGGTTCCGGAGATCCTCGGTTGGCAAATTTTAGATTCTGTTGTTGGCTTAATTCAGATTCTGGGACAAAAAGAGTCCTAGGGGTATTTATGGAATATTTAGTTTTTCTAACTTTTATGAGTTAGTTTAGAAGTCTAACTGTTTTAGTATATTTTGGAATGTTTTTGTATCAGGTTGTTCTTGTTGGTGACCATTGTCAGCTCAGTCCGTCCTATGTTCTTTTATATCCAGTTATCTGCATGCTTTTCGTTCATATGTATACGTTTTACACTTGTAACAATGTCATATTGACCTCAAGCATCAACATCAGGTTGTTACTGATTCGGAATTTTTGCATGCCTTCAGTATACTCTCACATCAAATAGCAATATATTTTAATAATTAACACCAAAAGTACGCTACACACTTTACTCTTTTTTACAGCATTGCAGCATTTGATTAACTTTTACTTGTGGTTCGTCTAATATTCTTGTAGATGGGACAATATCTTGCTGATGTAAGCACCTTTCGTGTTGCACATATGTAAATTCGATTTAATGGTTAATATGGTAAATTAGCATACAAACACAAAATTTTAGCTGTGAGCTAATGCTAATTTATGCTTTTAGATGATCATAATCATTGAATCTTAATAAGGAAATTATAGTAAATACTAATACAATTGTAAAATAATTTTAGAGTATCTTGAATAACTATTGTATTACCAATTACATTATCTTGATTCTCGTTGTCAGGTCAAGGTGGGCCCGATGACTGCAAATTTATCCCTAAACCTGCCCCCGATGGTCCTTTGGTAAACCAGATCCTTTAACCTTTTATTCACAACAATTTCATACACAATTATACAGCAATAAAGAGGTCTTCCTTCATGAATTTATCAGGCAAGTTTCAAACTTTTGCAAATTTCTAGTTTACTTTTAAGCCTTTATGTTGATCATCTACTCATCTAACATTTACATAAATCAAAATCTTTCACACTTCAATTTTTTGATATATATTTTTTGTTTTGTTTTGCAGAGGTTACCAAAGAGCAAATCTTGCATAGGATATTTTTTGTTTTGTTTTGCAGGGGATACCCCTCACATTTTCCCAAATTATCCCATCCTCTACAATGATTTTTTGTTTATGTGTATTTTGTGCATCAGGTAATGTTGATGGAAGAAAGGAATATGAAGCCACTTGATTCAAATCTTGCAACATTATCAACAAGATGCAGTAAAGATTTGGAGTTGAATTTGGCTAAGTCATTCTTGAGTGAGATGGGCGAATGTACAACTGCTTATCCATATAATCGGGTGCTTGGAGCATTAGTCTTAAATAATTATGAAAGGCAAGATGCAACTTTACCTAGTTGGAATTTGATGTACATAGTAGATTAGATGCAAATTTAGATATTGTAAGAAATACACTTGTATGACATTAAATTTTATGCAATGGATTCTATTTTTTGTATATGGTATTTTATTTTTATTATGAGACATTAAAGGCAAATTTAATTTAAAAAATAACAAATACATAAATAATATATTTTTTTAACATTTAAAATTACGACACGCAAAAATATGTGTCATCTTCATTTATGACATGCCCTTTCTTGACAGGTGTTTTAATGATACACATTGCGTGTCATTAACACGCGCGTCGTAATGTTAAGACGCACGAATGCATGTCGTCTTCCATTATGACAGGGCCTTCCTTGATACGCATTGTGTGTCGTAAACGCGCGTCGTAATTGCGCGTCGTAAATGAGCGTCTTAAATGCGCGTCGGCTATAGACGACGCGCAAAAGCGTGTCGTCTCTCTTTATGACAGGGCCTTCCTTGACGTCCATTTGCGCGTCGTCTGAGCCATTTACGACGCGCAATGAGCGTCGTAAAAGGTTGTTTTTCTAGTAGTGCAAAACCAACTTAACCAAAATAACAATACCATTTTAACCGAGCAATTACTAAAAAAGATGGTGCCGTTTCTATTTTTCATTAACCAAATACATTTGGTTTTTGGTTGTAACACCATAAAAATTCAGTCCAATTTTAAACATTTAAAACCAATAGTTATTAAAAATTTGTTTCCAAAATAGTCTATATTAGAGTTTTCCCAGAAACATTAACAAAATGTGAGGAGCTGTATGATCACGCCTTTGCCTTGCCGCGATCCCCCGATGTACCTGAAACAATAAACTGAAACTGTAAGCCCGAAATCTTAGCGAGTTCCCCTAAAATACCCATACCCACAAAAATACACATATAACCATAAAAAGCATACTATGGGTCCATTCAACCATTAGGTTGGAATACCCCAGGCCCGCAACCAACAGGTTGGAATGCCAACATACTATGGGTCCAATCATCCACGGGATGGAATACCCCAGGCCCACAACCAACAGGCTGGAATGCCTAAACACTTTGAGTCCAATCATCCTCGGGATGGAATACTCGCGGCCCAAAACCAAGAGGTTGGAATACCTAGGTCTATTGGCTTTAGCATAAAGCAGATAACCCTCAACCGCCAAACAAACATGTGCACATATATAATAGATAATCACATGACAATCTATAAATAGACAAACCGATCTAACAAATCATAACAACATAGCAACATCCTATCTAGCAGGATACTGATCTAACAGATAATGACAGCATATAACAACATATAACATCCTATTTACCAGGATAATGATCTAACAGATCATACCACATAGCACATAATACCATCCTATCTACCAGGATACCAATCTAACCGATCATACCACATACCACATAGTATTATCCTACCATCTAGGATACCGATCTAACAGATCATACTACCATCGATAACCAGATAGCAATCCAAAGCGCCAGATTTGGTGCCTTAGACCCTTGACTATAGTGAGGATAACTCACCTCGCAGCTGCCAACTAAAAATAGAAAGCTCAACTCTCGGATCACCGCCACAAACTCCACCACCTATAACCAACACATCGCAAAGTTCATAAATACCCAAGATACCCCTAGAAGTCACATAGTCCATCCTAGGTTATAGGCAAGGCCAAAGGTTAAGGTCAACAGTCCATGTTGACCTGACTCGTAGAGTGTATCCAGCCACTCGTCGAGTCCATGCATAGCTTTTCAACTCGCCGAGTCCCCTGAGCGACTGGTCGAGTTCCTAGTGTTTGTGGTCAATAACTCTATTTCTAACCCGTCGAGTTCGCTTACAACTCCCTGAGTTCGTGCATCTCCAAGGGTCGGGAAGATCCTAGCTAACTGGCCAAGTCATTCGACTAACTTGCCGAGCCCAAGGCAATCTTCAACGGACTCGCCTAGTCACTTATCCGACCCGCCGAGCCCACGACCATCTTCATCGGACTTGCTGAGTCGACCATGCCACTCGCCGAGTCCCTTCATACCTTCATTAATACAGATGCTTTTTAAGCCATGAAATGGCTCCAAATTGTAGATCCAACCTTCCTAGGCATGCTTATCACGTAAAGTTGCAAACTTTACATACATCCAAAGCTTTAATGCCCTAAAATGACAAAGCTAAGCTTGCAATGAAGTCTAACACTTGAGGGAAGGATCATACTTGCCAAAGCTGATAACTTTATGGATCTAGAGGCCAAGGGAAATCCATATCTAAAGTTGCAACCCCAGATCTTGACTCAAACACAAGAAACCTTTCCTTAAACCCACACAAAACGAGATTAAAGATGAGATGAGCCAATGAGATAGCCGACTACCTTCTAGAGAGTGTCAACTGAAGTAGATCTTCGCTTCCCACGAGTTCCTAGCTTCAATTTACTTGTTTCCCAAGAGTTCCTCATTAAGATCTCTCTTCCAAGCTTTATCACAACAAAGAAACACACACACACACACATAATTTAGGGTTTAAGGGTGCCAATGAGCTATAAAGGGGAGGCTGGGGGAGGCCAATGATCCTTTAAATAGGGTGCAATACCCCAAAATTTAGGGTTTAATCTGCCAGCTCCTACTCATCAAATCCCTTCTTGGACTCGACGAGTAGATCACTAAAACAAATTGACCAACCCGCTGCTACTTGACGAGTAGGGCAACCAACTCGTCAAGTAGACCCTAAATCAATAAAATTCTTATATAAATCAATACCTGAAAATCGGAGCATTACAGTTCTCCCCCACTTGAACTCGACTTTGTCCTCGAAGTTCGCTGAGGTGAACAACGTCAGGTAATGCTCCCATATCTCAGCCTTCGGCTCCCACGTCCACTCGGATCCCCTTTGATGCTCCCACTGCACCTTCACCAAAGGTATCTCCTTGTTCCTCAGAACTTTCATCTTCCTTTCCAGTATGGTCACAGGCCTGTCCATGTAATTTAGACGCTCATTGACCTGAATATCATCCAATGACACCACTGCCTCCTGATCCATAATGCACTTCCGTAACTGCAAAACGTGGAAACGGCTATATACCCAACTAAGCTCCTCCGATAGCTCTAGTCTGTATGCCACCTTGCCGACCCTAGAAATGATCCTGAGCAGTCCAATGTAACAGGGACCCAATTTCCCCCTATTCCTGAAGCAGATCACATTCTTCCAGGGTGAGACCTTCAGGAGTACCATATCACCCACCTGAAACTCTAACTCAGATTGGCATCTGTCAGCATAACTCTTCTGCTGACTTTGAGCGGTCTACAATCGCTACCTAATCAGTTGAATCTTTTCGGTAGTCTACAAAACTACCTTCGTCTGTCCCATCACCCTATGTCCGACCTCACCTTAACAAAGTGGGGTGCGACATCTCCGCCCATATAATAGCTCGAAAGGCAAGGCGCCGATGTTGGAATGATAGTTGTTGTTGTAGGCGAACTCCGCAAGGGGTAGGTGGGAATCCCAGATCCCACCAAAGTCAATGATGCATGCCCTCAACATATCCTCAAGGGTTTGGATGGTCTGCTCGCTCTGACCGTCAGTCTGTGGATGAAATGTTGTACTAAAATGCAACTGTGTGCCCAGTTCCTCATGGAACTTCTACCATAAATGGGAGGTAAATCTAACATCTTGGTCGGAAACAATGGAGACTGGAACCCCATTGCGAGCAACGACCTTGCGAACATACATGTCAGCCAACTTCTCGGCCGAAGAACTCTCCCGCATAGCCATGAAATGGGCACTCTTGTTCAATCGATCTACGATGACCCATATAGCATCAAACCCCTTCGTCGTCCTTGATAGTTTGGTAATGAAATCCATCGTGATCTGCTCCAATTTCCACATGGGAATATCTAGGGGCTTCAGCATACCATGTGGCCTATGATGCTTGGCCTTGGCCATCCTACACGTCAAGCACCTCTCGATGTACCAAGCGATTTATCGCTTCATACATGGCCACCAGTAACTCAAACTCATATCCCTGTACATCTTGGTGGCCCCAGGTGAATAGATAAGTGAGACTTATGAGCCTCCTCCATGATTGTCTGTTTAACCCCACCAGACATCGGAACTCATACCCGACCGCATCGGGTCAATAATCCCTGGCTATCCTGCACAATCTGGGTGTTCTCACCCCTGATCCTCTCCAACTTCAAGTTCTATGGTTGCATGCCCTCGACCTGAGTATTGTTGGATTAGTGTCTAAGTCCATAACTATAATTGGTATCTACTTGACCCGACTCGGCATGGTCTATTTGGGTTGCATGGCGTCATGCATTTGGACAGACTAAAATGAGAGAAATAACACTTACGGTTTGGTAATATATTATAAGTTCTAATATATTAATAGAATTATTTAATTAGTATTGATCAAGAATTAGTTTGGAATTAATTTGATCAAAAGGAGACTAATTAAATATATGGGTTGATTGTGTAAATTATCCATACTTGTATAGCGGGCTAATGCTCCATGGATTATCAAGTTGGGCTAAAACCCATAGGATGCTTCATGGTGTTTTTTGTACCCATGGATCATGGAAATGAAAGGCCATGACAATTAGCGTTTACATTGTGTAACCCTAATTGTGACACACTATATAAGCATCTTATTATTGTCAAAACCGACGACCAGAGAGACTATGAAGGAATGGTGAGGGCTAGCCGATTTCATGAAGTGTATCATTTTTCTCTAAGTTATTCCAAGTGCATTTCATGTTGTGTGAACCATTTGAGGTGTCACACTTAGAGCCCTAGGCTCTTGAGCATCATGGAGTCAAGGTACATCAAGAGGTATGTATTCTTACTTATTATGTTGAAGATAATAGAGTTGCGTCTTGGGCCCTTTTGTTTTACAACCGGATTGAGCTTGTCAATCCGTGTTAAGCTAGATTAGCCTTCCTTTTCTTAGAAAAACTGTTAGGGTTTCATTATAAATATATGCATGCATGTATACGTATAGTAACGGTCGTCACTCTCATTGAATATTGTAAACCCTAAAATC